GAACTTTTTATTTTGGACAGTTCAAAGCAAAGGTAGAAAGAATACTGTAGCACATGCCTGTGTACCTTCTACCTCTCCATTTCAACCATGGTCAACTTAGAGACCATCTTGTTTCACTGACCCCAGTGTTTCCCTGCGGTTTATCCAGACTACTGGTAGATTCATTTCTGGGGATAAATGATTCATAAATTACAGTTGCTTTTCTGTCCTTCAGTCTAAGATCTCTCACCTTAGTGATTTTTTTCGGTCCTTTCTTGCTAATGGTAAAAGGTAGTAGAGTCTTTTTTCCTTCAAAAGTAAGCCAAGATACGCTATGTTGGCACCTATCCTATTTTGTAATACCGTCCCCTATGTTTTCAGGGCTTTGTTCATTCAGTTGCCCAGTCTGTCCAAAGCTGTGGTGTGTGGGGTCTTCAAATGTGGAGCACTAAAGGTCACCAGGTGGGATTCCCGGTGTTACTACAGACTAACCATGTAACCTGCGACAACTTCCTTCACCTTTGTATGCTTCCATGCCCTCTTGTTTTTAAGGTGGGACTAATACTGGTACATACCCCACAAAACTGTGGTAGGACTTAAATGAGTGAGACCATTTAAATAGCTCAGAGACTGACACAAAGGAAGGGCCCAGTATATGCCATTGCTCCCGTCCTCCTTTTCCTTCTCATGATTTTTTTTCTATCCCTCATCACTCACAGAGAAGTGAAATAATACAGCAGTTTTATCAGGAGAACTTGGACAAGGAACCACATGTCTCTCTACTCCTTTATTATCCAAGACGCAGTCAGCCGGAGAGTTAAACCTTAGAAGTTGGGGGTTTCAAAAGCAAAGCAGTACGGGTAACACACCTCCTTGTTAGTGGGGAACAAAAACAAGAATGCTTTTAAGAAAGGCGATGATTTGGCAATTGATATTAGAGAACATTCTGTACACAAGAAAGAGAAGAAAGTTCAAGCAGGGGATGCTACTAACGGATAGATCTGGGGAACATTTGTGCCTGAGATCAAAAGAGAAGGCAAGATATAAAAAAGGATTGACCCATCAGTGAATATCAGAAACAAAAGAGGGGCACCTGAGTGGCTCAGTCAGTTGGGCATCTGACTCTCAATTTCGGCTTGGATCATGATCTCAGGGTCATGAGATCGAGCCCCACATGGAGCCCTGCATCAAGCTGTATACTCAGCACAGAGTCTGCTTGGGGTTCTCTCTCTCCCCCTGCCCTCCTCTCCGCTTGTACATTTTCTCACTCTCTCTCAAACAAATAAATAGAATCCTAAAAAAAGAGAGAGAGATGGGTGAATCCTAAACTTTATCTAAAGCCAAGTGGCATTGGCCATTCCTAAAGTTGTGATTTAGTCACTCACTTTAACATGCGCTAAGCATTAGTCTACTTACTTATGAATATCATTTTCTTAATCTTCATAGCAAGCCTGTGAAATAGGTACTATTATTGATCTCATTATGCAGCTAAGGAAACTGAGATATGGGGGAGTTAAATAACTTGCCCAAGACAATAAGCAGGAGACCTCGGGTTTGCACCTAAGCAGTGTGGCTCCAGAATCTGTCCTGTAAACACTCTCGTGCTGCTCCAAGGTAAACAAAGCCTCAGCACGTAGGTCATCTTGAGGAAAGCAGCGATAGCTAGGTGATAGCCTCCAAAGAGGCTGGAATGGTGGCATCGTTGCTCACTGATACCTGTGCTCTCATCTGACCCAGGGATCCTTAGTATTTAAGTCTCACTCAGGTTTCAGGAGGCAAGTTCTGTCCACTACACGTATGGATGTTTCTAATAAGCTTTGTCATAGCAGGGTACAGTTACATTGTTCTAGCTGCAGTCCTAAGAAAGTTCTCTGGTGTTTTATTTTCACATGAAGTTAAGATAACTCTTGCTAGGGATGTGTTTGGTTAATTCAAAGTCATTTACTAAACAACTATTTCTTGAAGGCCTCTGTTCTAGGTGCTGGGGATGCCTTGTGAAGAGCGCAGTTCCTCTCCTACAAAATCTCCATGGAGTTTTCCTTTCTAGAGCTTCTGATTAGCATAACAACAGCTATGTTGTTATGTCCTTTCTCTCAAATCATGCAGCAAAAGAAAAATCTAGAGAAACCTCTCTTGACCCCACAGCGCTTTGCAGCCACTGGTCCATATGTCTTTTTCCCATCTGTAGCACCATGTCTAGAAACGTTGTCTGTTCTCATATTTGTCTTCACTTGCCTTCCTCCCATCATTTTTTTTGAATTTATTTATTTTAGAGAGAGTACATGTGCAAGCAGGGTGAGGGGCAGAGGCAGAGAAGCAGACTCCCCACTCAAGTGTGGAGCCCAACACGGGACTCGATCCCATGACTCTGAGATCATGAGCTGAGCCCAACAGAGTCGGTTGCCAAACTGAACAAGCCACCCAGGTGCCCCCCACCTCCCATCATCTTTTAAACACAGCACCAAGCAGATTTTCTCCTCGAGATGTCCCCCAGCTCCAGACTCCTACGAGATCCCCCTACCTACTAACAGCTCCACTTGGATGTCTATAAGGCACTTGGAACATCCAAAACATCTCATCTTCCTGCCACATGCACTTCCCACTGACACACTTTTCCCATCCCTGTAAATGGAGAGTGGAGACTCCATCCTTAATTGCCAAGCCAATGACTTTGGATTCATCCTCGACTCTGCTCTTGCTCTCGCACCCCACATCCCTACCATCAGCAAATCCTACTGGCTTTCTCCTTGGTCGATCCATAATCCAACCATTCTCTCTCACCCATAGTATCACCACCTAACCCACAGTCATTTCTCATTCCCAGCTGGTCTTCCGGCCTCCTTCCCTGGGCACAGTACCCTCCACGTCTATAGTCAACACAGCAGCCAAAGAAATTCTTTTGACATCAGTCAGAATTTATCTCCCCTACAACAATATGTTCTTCAAAAATTTCTTAAAGTTTACATCAACAACATGGATGAATCTCATACATAAAATGTTAAGTGAAAGAAGCCAGAAAAGAGTTCATACTGTATTATGACTTCACTTAAAATACAAAATAACAGCACAGACTATTAGAAATCAGGATGGTGACTGAGGGACAAGGAGCTGCTTGAGAATGAAAGCACCTGGTGGGCCTCTGGGAGAGCTGGTCACTTCTATTTCTTGATCTGAGTGCTGGTTGCTCACAGCTGTTTGGTTGGTTAAAATTTAGCAGGCTGTGCTCTTATGATGTACCCTTTTCTGTATGCATTTTCCATTTCAATAACAAGTTTTACAAAATTGCTGTTTCTTACACAGAAAACCATTTTCCTCTAGACTTAGAAGGAATTTATCAGCGCTTAAAATTATGAGCCCCATGCAGGCAAAAATCGTGTCTGCTTTCATCCATTCAACAACAGAGTTATTGAGAACTGGGCACTGATCTGGGCACTGGGGATACAGCTTTGAACATGGGAAGTGAAACTCCTTAAGCTTCCAAGGGGTGGTATCACAATAACTTATATACCATAGAACAAGGTCCTGAGGGCTATGGAGAGGAAAAGGCAGGCTCGGGAGACAGAGTTCAGGAGTGCGGGAGGTGAGGGCCAGGACACAGTTTAAATAAGGTGGTCAAGAAGGGCTTCCTTGAGAAGGGTGTGAGAGAAGGAGCACCTGGGCAGGGACTGGAGAGAAAAGGCCCAAGCCAAAGCGGGCTCGGTGTGCACAAACAATAGCAGGAGGCTGTGGAACTAGAGAGGAGAGAGCCAGGATGGACTAGCTGGGGATACTGCCAGAGAAGGACCCTGGGGCCAGATCAGGAAGGGCCCTATGGGCCTCTGTAAAGATTCCACAGTTTTATTCTGCATGAGACCGGGTTGAGGGGTGGGGGAGTCAAGTTTTGCCTAACCTGGTTTGAGATAGGTTTCGGCTGTTTGGAGCAGCAGGTCATTGGTCCTCATTTTTGTAAATACACTTCAATTTTATATCCGTTCTCCTGTGGTGGCTACTTAGGTCATTTCCAGTTTAGGGCTTACATAGAGTGCTATGAACACACCGCCCCCCGTGCCCCAGTGCATGTCTTTTGGTAAAGTACTACATGTAAGGTATACCAGTCTTAAAGAAATTGAATAAGATAGATCGGTTCTTATTTGAATACCTTGGGCAATGTAACATGCTAGTTCCAGCGAAAGCAGGCCATCAGTCAATACTTAGGTTCACATTGGAGGTCAATGTTCGAGTATGTTTTAGGGCATACAAGGTGGAGGATATACATGCACACGTACAAACTTTGCAAGGTAAGTCATGCCAGGTGGAGAATACAAAGAAATGTCAAATAGATTTCTTGCCCTCAAGTACCCTGGAGTCTAGTTGGGGATAAAACATATGCCTATGAAACAGCAAGGATACAAACAGGAAATGCCAAATAACATCCCAGACATTCTGCCCCATATTCTCTCTGAAGCGGGCAAGGTCACTTTGAACTGTTTTTTGTTGTTGTTGTTGTTGTTGTTGTTGTTTTTTAAAGATTTTATTTATTTATTTGACAGAGAGAGATCACAAGCAGGCAGAGAGGCAGGCAGAGAGAGAGGAGGAAGCAGGCTCCCCGCTGAGCAGAGAGCCCGATGCGGGGCTCGATCCCAGGACCCCGAGATCATGACCTGAGCCGAAGGCAGCGGCTTAACCCACTGAGCCACCCAGGCGCCCCTGGACTGTTTTGATACAAGATTTTGCAGGGCAGCTGGGCATGCTGTAGAGCCTGAAAGCATCGATCAGATTTGTGAGCCAGACTCTCAGATGTTATCTGGGCTAGGGAAATAGCAAGAATGCCAATCTGTATTCAAGGGGGGCCATGCTTGATCAGTGTGAGTAAGAGTAGGGTTTAAGATTCATTTCAAAGCCTACTAGACAGCATTCTAATCTGGGAATATATATATATTCCACATTTCTTAATCATTTTGCTATATTAACGCCACGTTTACCATGACTAAACCTCAAAGTCCACGAGTTATTAAATGACTTAAATATATATGTATTTTTAGACTGGCAAAGAAAACTCATCCAGTGTGACAGTAGCAGGCCCCGAGATGGAAAATAAGGCAGGCCAGACTTTGGAAAACAACTCATTAATGGCTGAACTGCTGAACGATGTACCCTTCACCTTGGCCCCCCACGTGCTGGCCGTGCAGGGCACCATCAGTGACCTTCCAGACCACTTACTCTCCTATGACGTCAGCGAAAATTTATCACGGTTCTGGTACGATTTCAGTCTTGAAAATTCAGTTCTCTGTGATTTGTAATATTTATGTCTATTTGCATCATAACAGCTTTAAACAAAAGTTTGCCTGTTTTCTTTTACCTGTTTGATATTCTTTGCCATTTCATTGCTTAAAGGTCCTCAGAAAAGCAAGGATCATAAAGCAAACATTATATTTATTATGCTGTTTTTTAGAATAAAGTATATTTGTATAAAAGTTGGGACTTAAGCTCTGCTTCCTTTCCACCAGATAATAAATTTAAAAATTAGGCTATCAAGGTTTTATGAAAGGAGCAGATTCCTTCCAAAAGGAATCTCTCTCAAAACAGAACACTTCAAGTTTATCTTGGGAGAACTGTGACAAAGAGCTGTGGCACTTTTCTTAGTTACCACAACTCCAAAGTCTGTGCTTAGAATGCATGTGATTTCTCTTCTCTGATTTGGAGGAAGCTTGAATTAATGTTATTCGCTTTCTTCTTCCACAATGTTTATGAATGGATTCAGGAAAAAAAGAAATGTTGCCAGTTAGCTTAATTTCTTCAGTTCCTATTTAGACACCGAGAGGGAAATGTAAAACTTTCCCTGAAAAGCAGCGGCCGTGTGCTGATCCACGAATGCTATCCCTCCTCTGGATGCTGCTTGTTTGGAGTGATACATGTGATACATTTCAGTTGCCCCAAACCCACCGCAGCCCTTTCCCTCTTGAATGGTTCCCATGTGCCTGCCTTTGTTTTCTGCCTCGCTGCTACTCTGGAGCGCGTGCCCTCACCGGCTTTCCAAAGAACTTCCCCTCTTTCTGCTTCAGTTGGCATTTGCTTCCCTTCCCACATATGTTCCCACTTTATGAAGAGATCCACGTTTCCTTTCAACCTCTCTGCCTCCTAAAGAAAAACATCTCATGATGATACATATTATTGCTGATAACACCCTTATTTAGAAATTTGTTGGCCACAATACAGATGGAAATGTTTTGCTGCTAGAAAAGCTGAAATCGAGTCATTTCCAATTAGAGTGTAGGCAAAACACCTATGACTTTTAGTTCTTGGCTATCCATTATTTACTCCAACTAAAGCAGTAAAGAACTGCCATTGGTCAGTAAATGGTAAAGGGAAGAAGAAAATTGTAATAGAGTATTTTCCATGCCATGGAAAATTTAAATCACATTTGTTTTGATCAGGAGCCATACAGTTTAATTGATTCTGTGCCAAACTGTAAGTATATTTTTCACAAAGATAGAGTGCCATAGTGAAACTAAACACTGTGCATAAAGGTACGTGAATCATTCAAGTTTTAATGTGTTATGAATGTTTAATAAATGTAGCATTGTCTTGATAAAAATGCCATATTATTTAGAAGCACTGTCTTGATAAAAATGCCATATTACAAAAATGTGCTTCATTTACAAATAATGATACCACATGAAGTGAATGATTACATTAAATCTTTACACAGTTTTCATAAAACATCAGTCTAGGAAATGTGACCTATTACTAACACAAATGTGAACATTTTTTAGCAGTTTTTGTGAAAACATCCTTCTTAATACCCATGTTAATGTACCTTGAAGCTAAATGTTATGTCATCAATTTGTCTAATATATTTGTTAAACTGTCTAAAATACATTTCATTTATATTTTATGTCTACCATGTTATAAATATGCTTAAATTTTCATTTGTCTAAAATAATTGTTATATTTAAATAAATGTGAGTTAAAATAAACCAGTATGTTATTTTCAGATCCAGAAAAAAATAGTGTTCTTTACCTTCATATTTGAATGCAAGTTATTAATTCTTTGTGAGGCAAATATTTAAGTATATAGTTGGTGCAAGACCACAAAAATATGAAATTTCCACTTATATGTGAACTTTAGGGAATAACATTGAAAATGGTTAAGATCACTAGTCCTGGTTCAATAGGACTGGAGGGATTTGGAAGAAATCACATGAATATCTAGCTCTAGAAAGATCCCCATCATCCCAAAATTTAGTAAGGGCTACTGTTCATGAACCTTTTTTTTTTTTTAGATTTTATTTATTTATTTGACAAACAGAGATCACAAGTAGGCAGAGAGGCAGGCAGAGAGAGAGGAGGAAGCAGGCTTCCCACTAAGCAGAGAGCCCTATGTGGGGCTCAATCCCAGAACCCTGGGATCATGACCTGACCTGAGCTGAAGGTAGAGGCTTTAACCCACTGAGCCACCCAGGTGCCCCTGTTCATGAACTTTTAACAAAAATATTTTAGTTTTCTTAATCCTGTACATAAATCAATATTACTATTTTAAAACTGGAAGGAACATTAGAAATCAGCCAGCCAACTTCATTTACCCAAGATAAAATTGAAGCCTAGAGAGGTTCAATAACCTAACTCACCTGGTTTAGTGATAAATTGAATAGTGTTCATAATTACGTAACAAAGCTGTATGCTCGGATGGAAAGAGTTCGGGCATTTGAGGCAGCCAGACTTTGTAATGGCGTACTCACTCACAAGATGTGGGACTTTGCTCAGTTCTCTAACTTCCTTGGTGTTTTTAGTTCCCACACTTGTTAAATAGTAACAGTATGCACCTTGCAGAGCTGTGTTGAGTTTTAGATGGTGTTTGTCAGATGCTTGGCAGCGTAAAGCTTGACATACCATAGGTGTTCTGAGAAAGGGAGCTGCTGTAATTCTCATTACTTACCACATATGCACACTAGACTAACAAAATGCAAAATGCATATTAACTGAACATATTAAAGAGGCATATAAAAAATAGCAACCTACGTTTATTATTGGTCTCTCCTGCCCCATTATTTTTTTCCATAGTAAATACCTAACTATAAAAAAAAAAATCTCTAAAATATGTTGGTTGACTCTCTGCAATTCCTTAGTTAAGAATTTCCTACAGAGAAATACAAATCAAAACCACAGTAAGATACCACCTCACACCAGTGAAAATGGCTAAAATTAACAAGTCAGGAAATGACAGATGCTGGCGAGGATGCAGAGAAATGGGAACCTTTCTACACTGTTGGTGGAAATGCAAGCTGGTGCAGCCACTCTGGAAAACAGTATGGAGTTTCCTCAAAAAGTTGAAAATAGAGCTACCCTATGACCCAGCAATCGCACTACTGGGTATTTACCCTAAAGATAAAATGTAGTGATCCAGAGGGGCATGTGCACCCGAATGTTTATAGCAGCAATGTCCACAATAGCCAAATGATGGAAAGAACCTAGATGTCCATCAACAGATGAATGGATAAAGAGGATGTGGTATATATATATACAATGGAATACCATGAAACCATCAAAAAAACCTCACATGAAATCTTGCCATTTGCAACGACATGAATGGAACTCGAGGGTATTACGCTAAGTGAAATAAGTGAATCAGAGGAAGACAATTATCATACGATCTCTCTGATATGAGGAATTTGAGAGGCAGGGCTGAGGGTCGTGGGGGGTAGGGAGGAAAAAAATGAAACAAGATGGGATCGAGAGAGAGACAAACCATAAGAGACTTTTTTTTTTTTAAGATTTTATTTATTTATTTGACAGACAGATAACACAAGTAGGCAGAGAGGCAGGCAGAGAGAGAGAGAGAGAAGCAGGCTCTGCACTTAGCAGAGAGCCCGATGCGGGGCTCGATCCCAGGACCCTGGGATCATGACCTGAGCCTACGGCAGAGGCTTTAACCCACTGAGCCACCCGGGTGCCCCCTATAAGAGACTCTTAATCTCAGGAAAGAAACTGAGGGTTGCTGGTGGGGGTAGGGATAGGGTGACTGGATTATGGATACTGGGGAGGGTATGTGTTATGGTGAGTGCTGTGACTGCATAAGAATGATGATTCACAGACCTGTATCCCTGGGGCAAATAATACATTATATGTTAATTTTTAAAAATTTCCTACAGAACACTTTCTTTTCTCTTACTATCAAGCATCATGACCATTTTCCTTAATACATGTTATCATTGGAAAAAGTACAATAGAGATTGTACAAGTGCTTTTACTGAATCTTATTTTTAGCCCTGAAATATATTCAGGAAGTTGCATGTATTTTTTTTTCCAGCTTTCTTTAAGGGCGTTTGCATCTTTTCCTAAAAGCAGAATTAGATAATTCTGACCAACTTATTATGGTCAATTAAATTTGATTGACTGAACTTTAAAAATTGTACTACTAAGTATTAACAAAACCACATTTCTTGTTAACAGTTCTAGAAAATCATAATAGTTTGTTTTGTTAAGTAAACATTCAGTGACACCAACACTTTTCTCGCCTTTTCAAAGTTAAAATGATAAATTGGAAACAGTATTAAAGAAATCTTTTCTAATATTCCCAGAATCCTGATGTGTTATAATTCTAAAGGACAGATATGGAGTAGCAAAGAAATAATCTCATTCATGTTCTAAGACAGTGGTACATCAGACCTTACTCCCTTCCCTATCATGATAACAAATGATCACTAAATGAACAGTGCCCTCAGTTACCTAGCAAAGAATGTTACTTTCAGAGATAATACATTGTCTTATTAATATGTCAGTAGTAACATTCACATGAAAAATAAGTATATTGGATAGGTGGCTGAAGGATGTTACATCTTTTAAAGCCACTGAGAAATAAGGGTTTGTGGACATTATCTTTTGAGCATTTGTGTCCTATTACTAAGGGAATGACCTAAATATTATTGAAAAATCTGAAACACTCAAAATAAGTCTGACTCCACTGATATTACATTGGCCTGAAAGATGAAGTATTCCTATGTGTCAGGAAAATGACTATGCCGTATGGTATGGTTTGGTGCATCAGTGTGGGTGAAAAAGAGAAAGGTGTGTTGATGTGTAGGAGCTCTGTTACAGTCAATGCAGCAGTATATTAAACATCATCAAATAAACTTTTTATGTTAGGGGTAGCTTTAGAATTATAGGAAAGTTACACAAACAGTGCAACGTTCTGATACACCTCCCCCTTAGCGTCGCCTATTGTGAACATCTTACATTACTACAGTGCATTTGCTACAACTACTGAACCAACTTCAGTACCTTTCTGTTAACTCAAGTCCACACTCTGAGTTCATGGTTTTCCCATCATGTCCTTTCTTCCCTTCTAGCATTCCATCCAGTAGAACATATTACATTTAGTCATCCTGCTCCTTAGGCTACTTTTGGCTCTGACAGTTTGTTTTTGATGACCATGACATTTTTGTGGAGTACTAGTCAGGTATTTTGTAGAATGCCCTTCAGTTGGGGCTTATCTAATGTTTTCACATCGTTAGACTATGGGTTTTCAGAGGTAAATTACAAAGATGAAGTGCCCTTGGATGAGATCATATCATACCAAGGCTATATGCTATCAATATGATACTCCTCCTGATGTTAACCTTTATCACTGGGCCAAAGTAGTATTTGCCAGATTTCTCCACCGTTAGGTTAATCTTTCCCCCACTTTTATACTCTGCTTTTTGGAATTAAGTGATAAATCATAGCCCACACTCAAGCAGTAGGAAGTTAAGCTCCACTTCCTTAAGAGGCAAGTAGCTACATAAGTAGCTATGTGGAATTCTTCCACATAAGAGATCTGTTTCTTCTCTCCAGCTTATTTATTTATCATTTTCTAATTTATATTGGGACTCATGAATATTCCCTTTTTTTTTCCCCAAATCTAAATCAGTGGGAGCCAAGAAATATATTTACACCTTTATAAAAGGTAATAAAAGATAATTTGGCACATTTTACATGGTGCACATGAATACCATTTGTTGTTGGACGTGATAATATATTCCATAATTTCCTCAGAATTCATCTTCCTTTAGATATATTACTCCTTAACTTGCCATGACTGGAACTGTATGCACAGTAGAGTTTCCCTGAGAGCTACAAGTGTCACATTGTAAATGGAGCCCTCTTTCATACTTGGCCTTTTCCTACCTCTCTTTCCTATAATGACTGTGTCTTACACATGATATCATTCTTCAGCAAGTGGTGTAGAGACAAGATTATAGTGTAATCATTTTCCTCTCTAAAGAACCAAGATAACTCATGATACACAGAGCTCTTCTCTACAATAGATGACTTTTTTTTTAGTAATCGCAAAAACAAAGTTGCAGCTCGTAAGTTTCTAAAGAAAGAAATGTTTCATTTTCAACCTCTAAGAAGTAGTTTTAAGAAGCAGTATAAGGAAACTCGGTCTTCTTTTGGAGGGGGAGGTGCCCAAGAAACTCTTATTTTTACTTCTGATTAACCAGAACAGAACTGTGTGCTCTAACATAAAGTTGATCTGCTCCAATTTCACTTGGGGGGGGGAAAAATCAATCAAAGCAAAAAGCATCTTATTTTGTCCTTGGAAGAAACCTGAATATAGTTCTTTGTCAAGAATTTGCCCAGTCCCAATTTTAACCCCTACCAAGGAAATAAATTCCTTACAATCAAAGGTAAGGCAAAGGATAATTGCATCCAGAACAACCCCGTCAGTACGCTAACTCTGAACCAGCCCCACAGACAGCTTTTTAGTTACTACCCAGGCCAGAGAGAGTCAGACAATAGACTGTTTCAGAGGTCAGTTAAGGAGACAGCCTTCCACTTAGGATTGCTGCCAGGGACGTACAATCCGATGTCTGACATCTGGGTTCTGCAGCTGCCAAGTCTGCCCCTTGTGTGGCCACAGGTGTTAGCTATAACTCTGAGACACGTGGGGGAGAAGGAACAGGGAGGGTAATGTCAGTTTCACTGTGTGTATGTGTGT